AAACTGAGGAAAAGGAAATTCAGAGGTTAATGTAAATTGATAATACGACCAGTGAAATGCATTATGATTGACTGCTTTAGCATGTTAGCTACAGCTCCCACTCACTCTAAGATTGTTGGGTTGCAGGTGGGAGGGTGGAGCTGTGCATTAAGTGATGATGAAATAGCTAAATTGTGAAAATTAAACTTCCCCTTGAGCAATGAGTACATAGAAGGAATAATCTAGATAGACAGAATAAATAACCAAATATATTATATTCACTTACTGCATTAAACTTAAGTGCCAGATAATACATGTTCTGCTTTAGCACAGCACATGTAGCACAGAGGTGTGTCTGCTACAACATGTTAGTTCACATGCATATAATGTGTTTTTTCAGCTGCACTCAAATGTCTATACAATATTGAACATATTATGTTCAACCCTTGCTAACATCGATGTGTGTTTGTGTGCCCGTGCAGAGTAAAGTAATGGGCTGTGAGCACTGCAGGGATCTGTTTAGCACCCTGGGATCCCTCCAGGCATCATCCCCCGGCAGGGACAAGACATCCACCGAGCCGCTGGACGAAGAGAAAGACGGACTGAAGGAGCAGCTGAGGCAGCTGGAGCTGGAGCTGGCACAGACCAAACTGCAACTGGTGGAGGCAAAGTGCCGCATCCAGGTCAGCAGCACCCGGGAGGGACAGCGATATCAATAACTATAATAATAACTGCTGCAGAGATGCAAGGCCGTATACCAAGTCTGTAGGAGTACTCTTTAAGGGAACAGATATAGATTAACAGTTAAAAGATTGTCAGAAAGAAAGAAAGTCAGTATCAGAAACAAAAACTAGATCATTTTATTTTTAAATATTAATATAACTGAGTTTATTGCCCCATTTATATGGTTTAGTTAAGTATTTTATTTATGTGTTCATAAGAGTCTACAGTCATGCGAGCTGCTCTGAGGCTTTTTGAGCTAAATGCTAACATCAGAATGCCAACATGCCCACAGTGACAACATTAACATGCTGATGTTTTGCAAATACGTTAAACATCACCATCTTAACTAATCTCAGTTTAGCTTTTTAGCATGCGAACATTAGTTAATTAACACAAAACACAAAGTAGAGATGAGGCTGATGGGACTGTCATTATTTTTGAAGGATTTAGGATCATGAAGAAACGTATTCTACAATTACAGATAAAAAGTTATGGGATCCTCAAAGTTATAGTTAACCCTCAGGGGATCAGCTATAACTATAACAAATTTGAGCGAAATCAGTCCAGTGTCAAGTTTCAACTTCACAATGCTAAAAACATAACATTGTTAAAGACAAGATACAGTACATACAAAAGAATGTGAACCCACTCCATAGTAAAAGTATATGCAGTCCATCAAGTGCATAAGAATATACAGGTGCATTGAAAAGTGTGTTAAATACAGACACATGACAAAGGGCAGTATGTTAGATGAACTTACAAGAGAGAACACACACTTTCCCCCTCGAAGCTCCTCTTGCTGACTCTTCTCTGATCTTCTTGTCACCGTGCAGGAGCTCGAGCACCAGCGGGGAGTCCTGATGAACGAGATCCAGGCAGCCAAGAACTCTTGGCTCAGCAAGACTCTGGGCTCCCTGAAGAGCTCTGCCTCCTCTTCCTCCAGCTCCATGTCCCAGACCCCGTCCTCTCCAAAGGAGGGCCCTGCCTAGACGACCCTCTCTCCATCTTTCTGTCTCCCTTCGGGATACACACTAGAGCTAAGGAACACGAGTTGAAGAAACAAGCAGCGGAGAAATGCAGTATTCCTTTTTTCAGCTGGTGGCAACTCAGAGCTCACCAGCTTCTTGGACTGCAAATAGCTGAAAAGATGAAAGAGTGGCAGAGGACTGGATGAGCCACCTGTCTTTCACTTAATGTTTATGTTTGAGTGAACTAAAAAGTGTCTGTTGACCTTCTCTGTTTCACAGGTGATGAGACAGGTGACACTGAATCATCAGTGAAACTTGAAGTTGATTCAAAGTTCAGTGATTGATGCTGAAACTGTTTTGTTGAGTTAGATTTCTAAACTCTCATTATAAGAAAGCCGAATTAACGTGAGACAATGGCATCCTTTATGTAGGTTAATAATGTAGCTCCACCCTGTGGGCAGACATTGCTACTGCAGTTATAGTCATTTTGTGTGAGATTATGTTTTTAGGTAGCCGAGAATTAAACTTGCAGTCAGTCTCACAATTTGAACAATATTTTCAACTATAGTGATCCAGCTACAGCTGCAGAGATCTTATAAGTTTCCTGCATAGAAATATAGCTATCTACATTAACCATCTTCAGCGCAGCAAAGCCACTTTGAAAAAGGAATACTGCATTCAGAGTCTCAAACAAGAACAACATAAAAAGTTGTATTTCTTTATAGTAATATAACGTAAACAATGTTGTCATATAAATATGTATAACTAATTATTGATTTTTGTAATAATCTTGTACAGTTCTTTAAGAGAAGAAAAAAAAACACAAGGAAAGATTATTTGTTAATTTTTTTTTTACTGTTTGGAATTTGAATGTCATCTCTGTAGATGTTGATGTAAGCACAGTGTGTGATCGATCCGGTCGAGTCCAAATGCCGAAGAGCCAAAGTGACAACCTGCAGATGTGCTTCATGTTGGCACTGTTTCCTCATTCATGGGTTGAACTGACTCAAGGTGTGTAATACCACTCTAAATTTAGCTAAATTTGTTTTTAAGAACCCACTTACAGATCATACCTGTAAGTATTTAATTGGCTTTTTTGTGTGTCACTGCATTCGTATTTCTAACATGCAGTTTGATTAGCTGTGATCACAACAGAAATCGGCTCTGTTTCCCATTTCTGTGTCACATCTTTTTTTTTTTATACTTTTACCTTATATGTTTAAAATTTTTAATGATTCAAGTGAAATACGTATTTGCCACACATCTTCAGTTTAGTGCTGATAATGTGAAGTCTCCAAAGTGGTTTAAAAAAATGTTCAAGCTACTTAAAACAGTTCATTTTGTTCTCAGTTGAACAAATGTCTCTGGTGTCTGCAGTAATTACAGTTGAAGATGTCAGGGCTTGTGTTTCTCGTTCAGAGTAAGCCATTTTTGGCATCGTGTTCTTTTACAGGCCCAGATAATCCATCACAGTAATCATGGATAAACTGAGTGTATCTGTCTGTGTCCTGTAACACCATGCAGACAACACCCACACAAAGAGCTGAAAGGATTTACCCGTTCATACCTGTTACTGTCATCAAAATTCACTGTAGATACCAGAGTCAGCACATTAAATTAGGTAATTTTGTAATATAGTGAAGGCTCGAGGGTATCTGTTACATAGCACAAGTCATCCCTAAACATCTAACATTACATTAAGAAGCAAGATTAAGTTGCAATATTCCCTGATCATTGCCAAACAATCCTAAAGTCATTTGCACAGCTGTGCCAACACCTTCTTTGCCCTTTGTCGTGATAAAATACGCTTTTTAACTAATTGTTTACACAATGAGCACAGCATGTGGATATCTAAATCTTCCCTGCATCAGTTGTGGACTGTTGTTTCTGTTGCTCAGTCTTTAATGATGTGCAGGTAAATTGGATTGTTATGAAACTTACATATGCTTGACAAATTAAGGTCTCACTTATAGTTACATGGGATTACTTTATCTTTAGTAAAGGAAAGTGTAAGTAAGATGAACAGCAGGTGGAAAGAGCTTTATTGATTTTAAAAGAAAAGAAAAAAGTAATACTTATTACATAACTGGTTGCTAAAATCTACGGTAGGTGTGAGGACCTTGCAGATATTAGTTTGGTAAGTGATAAATACAACATTTAGCCAAAAGGTCTGTGCAGTTAGCAGGCAGAGCGCTGCAGTGTAGGTGCCAAATGTCCTGCTCTATTCTCCACTCACGTTGTCACTGGAATCGGCCTTTGGACTCTGACCATGCCCACGTGTAATTGTTTATGTGTGAGTGTGTGTTTTTGGATGTGTGTATGTATGTAGGTGTGTGTTCTGCACTGTAACTCCAGTGGTTGAAGTTGAAATGGTTTCTTCTTCACGTGGCTGCCTTTTCTGTTGATGACTGAAGCCTGTTGGCTGATGAGAGGAACGCCATCTGACAGTTTGAAATGTCAGAGAGCATCAGCTGTGCCATAAGAGCCTCCCCTCTGCTCCGTCCCCAAATGGTCTTCCTCCGTACTCCCAACCACCTGAACCAACCTCGCCAACAACAACAACCATGTCATCTGATCTTATAGATCTATATCAGGCTGCTGAATATCATTTTCAGCAGCCTGTTTCCCACATTTCCACCAGGAGCCTCCCAGTAACACCACTGTTCTCTCACTGGTGGCCACTGAGCTGCTTCACTGGAGGAAATGCATCAATATCATGGTAAAGGGAGAAAAAGGAAGCTGACGGGCTGAATATCATTGAATTCCAGGTGTGTTTTGCAATTCCAGGACATTCCTTCTTCACTACTGTGCATCATTGTCGTTGGTCACGTGTGACATTTACAAAGTCAAACAACCAGTTTTATGTAAACTGTGGCCAAGAGTGACGAAAGCTCCTCATCTTTTATGTGCACTAAAGCAACATTGATATTTTAAACACTATTTCAAGATGTGTTTTTGTTTGTTTAAAAGTTATCCTGATCACAGAGCATAATTATTTTTTAACTGATGATTATCGTCGCTGAGAGGACAGCTGCCAATTTATAATCCGCTCTACTTAATTTCAATGATGCATAAGAGGGCAGTGATTCGGATTAGAGGTGTGATTTGCATTGTGTAGTTTACAGTCTGCTGTAATACCACAGTCCTGTTACACAGGGAGTGACTGCTCCTCCGTTGGTCCGACTCCAACACTGTTTGTTGTACAGTAACTGTCTGACCTGCATTAATAAATTTCAGTTTTTCTGTTTATTCATGCACCTTGAGCTTTTATTTAAACAGCAGAATACTGGAATTATTCATTTTAGAAATAATAAAGGATCTACATAGGAATTCAGGTTTTCTATTGTCTTTTTAATGAACACACTTAAAAGTTTCCAAACCCAGTGACATCCTGTCTGGCTAGCAAGAGCTGTTTTTGTCGTAGACACAAGTAGAAGCACAAGCTGAATATACAAAACATGTAACATAACAATAAACATGATTATATCTGCCAGTACAAACTGCTGGGTAGCTGTTTTCCTGACATCATCAAATAATGTAAATAAATAAACAAATTATTGCTTAGTTTGATGGGGGGAAAAAATAAGAAACAAAAGATAACTGGTAAATGTTCATAACATTAAACTCAGTAAACACAGATTTTGTGCCAGGATGCATAAAGTTTAGCATCTGCTGCAAAAGCTGACATATATAAGAACTGTTTTTGTGTAATTCTCAAACGGCAAAAGTTTATAACTAGAGAAAATAAATTGAATTGAAAGCTATGTGGCAGGGCAATTTGTATCTGTTTTACTCAGTGTTTAATGACATGAATGTTCTCCGAGAAGTGTAGTCAACATGCAGTAAAGGTAGTAGTAGTAGTAGTAGTAGATAATGTGTAGTCTTGTATTGAAATATCCCACTAAATTGGTCAATAATGTAGCAAATCCCTCATAAGAATAAATACCTGATGAATACAAAATAAAATCCCAAGGAAGAAACACCTCCAAGGAACACGAAGAGCAGCTTACTGCGTTTCTGAATCTCTCCCAGTATTCCTAGGAGTTTTTGGAGGTCCCCAAGGAGTCGTTTGAGGTCATACTGTGTAGAGCATGAGCACCTGGGTGGGAAAAATCGTTCATATCATGTTTGTATTTTAAAATCCTGATTTACAATACAAGGAATTAGGAATTGTTGATAGCAACATTGTGTTTTGCTTGGAAAATAGGACTACAGAAATGTCAACAAACCAGTGGCAAAAAGGGCCCAAAGACAACATGCAGTCTCTAAATGCACAACCGGCAGTTAAATCTATCGCCTGTAATCCAATATTATCGCCACTACAAGTGATTACACTGTTTGTGTCTGGTTTTAACTGTTGACCAACCAGTTCAAATATGGAACATGATGATATCTAATTTAGGCATTCATTAATTTATGGCTACCCCATTCCTGGGCTTGTGGTCCCAAGCCTAGGAGTGGGGTAGCCATCTTGGATCAATGGAAATGTACCTGGGGATAGTCTTGGCTGCAGTACTCATGTGTTTACTACAGTGTAGTAACCTGTCCGCCACCTGCTCACCTGCTGGACAATGGGTCTTTCTGAGGGACATTTCATTACAGTTGGACAATATAAAAACATCTGCTGTGCTAATTCTTACTATTCTTTGGTTCCAACATTGCCGAGGCGGTCACTGAGCTCATCAAAGTAGTTATCAGCGAAGCGAAGCATCTGAATGATGGCGGTGAGTAGAAGGATGTCGCAGTTTTGGTCCAACTCTAACTCTTTGCTGTAGTTCTTCACTGGAACAACGCAGGACAGTGGCACACCGGTCCGAACGCTGACCTCCTGCATCTGGAACAAAAGCAGCACAAAATATTTAGATGAGGTTAGTTTATTTATATTTTTGACACCACAAAAAAGGAAATTGGACGTTTAATTACATGTTTTTTATTCTTTGATCTTTACCACAGCAGAAAGGTTGTGTAGGTTATGACTACCCAAAATTCAATGGGAACTTTATTAGTTTAAGACAAAAACAAAAAAAGGAGAACTGACAACAAAAACTAAATCAAATGAAATTCAGACCGATTTCATGTTAACATGTGGCTTATATTCTTCCATCGAGACCAAAACTACAAACCTTTAAACGTCTGTCTTTCAGAATAAAATCCTACAGATGAATTCAATTTCTTAAAGTTGATCTTACCATTTCCTTGATGTAGCTGCTCCTATAAATGTTCCTAATGTCCTCTGAAACAAAAGGACAGGCATCATCCACTTTAGTCATCAGGACCAGCTGAGGAATCCCTGAAAGCCAACAAAACAAAACAAAATAGTTTTAAATACTGTACCACTGACTTTGAAAAAAAACAACAACAGTCTACCTCTCTCTTCTACTTATACGTTTCTATCATGAATCTTGTTTTGATAAAAATTATTTATTCATACAGTATGTTTGACAGTACTATGTTAGCAGTCCTTATATGTTTAATGGTTTGTGAATATCATACAACATAGGTATCAAAATAAGTCTTCATGTACCATATACATACATTTTTGCAACATTTGATTTTGGGGGAGAAATGTATACAGGGAACAAGGTAAGTCTTATTTTTTAGTTTTATCAGATTTTACTCACTGAGGTCTTGGGTTGCACTAATAACAGCTCCAGTGTGTAACACTCTCTACTCTATTTGAAAACTGAGATAACCTTTGTTATGAATTGGCACTATACAAATAAAATTTGAGGATATATTGGTAGAAATGGAATATAATATTCATAGGTATGTTATTATTGTGTAATCACCTGAATATAGGAATCGTTCTGTTTTTGTCTTACTATGAGCTGTTTATATTTACAGACGCCGTTATCGCCTTCTGTGGACTCCGCCATGTTGAACTGCCATCTTTCTACAATAGCCCAGAATGGACAAACCAAACAGTGGTTGTAGATATGGGCACTTGCGTCTTCCGTAGTTTCTCCTTTGCGCTTGGAAGGGGAGAGTGAAGCGACGGATTTGCAATCTGCAATTACACCACTAGATTCCACTAAATCCTACACACTGGGCCTTTAAATAACATGGGAATAATTTTTACTGACCCATTAAGTTGACCTTTCTGCGGATAGCATCTAGCTTCTCCTCCAGCTTTGGGGGCATGATGGAGACCTTGCAGGCATCAATGATGTAGGCCACGCAGTGGATCTTGTCCTTGAGGCTTGGAGACTTACGGTAGCCGTGGGCCTCCGAATGCAGAGGAGCAGAGGGGTTGAACTGAGTCATACAGGTGAAAGAAAAAAACAGTTTGTGTTCAACAAACACAATTAACCACATCAGGGCATCATCATGTGTTCATTATGCTGCTGAATGTTACAAAAAGCTCTACCTGATAAGTGTCTGGCAGATGACCTTTGAGGATGTTGACAACATCTTCCAACTCAAGCCCGGCCCCAGTGGTTTCTTCCAATCCCATGGTGTCGCACAAGATGATTGGCAGAGGTTTTCCTCCTCGTCCAGCTTTCAGAGAGTACGTGCGAAACTGTCAGGTAATACAATGAAGTTTATCAGATACAATTTTTTGGATGGTAAAAATCCTGTGAATTTGTAATTTGTAGACTTTGTAGACAACAAGAGACTCATTTACTCTGCCTTTTTGGAAAGCTTGCACAAGCAGGACTGGAAAAGAGTAGTTGACCAACAACCACTAAGACAGCTGCTATAAATCACTTATTGTAGCTAATAACTTTGTCTTCAGTACTTGATAGTTTATGTTGATAGAAACAGGCTGAGCAGAAAACACTACCAACTTTTCCTTAATTTTCTTTGTTTAGGGCAAATCTCATGCCAGATTAAAGACTTGCTTCTGTTCCCTCTGGGAGAATAATGCCTGTCAAATAGAGTGTACTCGGGCAGCATCAAGGGTGATAATTACCTTCCCCCACACCATTTGAAATAAATCAAGGCAGTGCTGCAGGCTAAATGAACTGGAGCGCAATTTTGTTCTGCACTTGAAGATGAACAGCAGGTTGCACACGGTACTAGATTTAACAATACAGCCATGCTAGCAGCTTTGTGAAACTGTACTCAGGTACAGTGGTGCTTTAGTTTAATATGTTCACCGTCTTAGGATAGCATGTTACCATGCTAACACTTTAGTATTTAATACAAAGTGTAGCCAGCCTGTTTGACTTTGTGATGGAACTTGGTATCCTGTAAAAATCAGGGGATCACCAACATTTTACAATGTTATGAGCTGTAAAAAGGTGGATGCACTGATAAGCATTGGCTAAAATTAACCTGTGTGGTGAGGCTGGTGGTAGAGCAACCAGCGATGGCCTGGCTGGTGACGTGGCCTCTGAATACAGAGTTGATGGAATTGAAGAAGCTGGACTTTCCAGCTCCAACTGGTCCAATGAGCAGGACTCGAATCTGGGACACAGAGCTGGTCATGGGACTGTAGCTCTTAATACTGTCCATCATCTCTGTCCTTTTCCTGACAAAACAAAAGCAGTTTTATTGCAAATCTATAACCATATAGGTCAAAACGTAATCATAACTTCTTAAGACTTTCGGCTATGTTCAGACTGCAGGCAAAAGTGGCCCAAATAAAAAATGTTTTGCTCATATTTGACTTTATTTCAGCACAAATCACATGGAATCTGATCTTTTCCAATTCTGATCTGGACCACTTTCATATGTTGTCCAAATCGGATATAGGTCTGCAGCCTCAGTGTGAACTCATAATTCATATCAGAATGAATCACTCTAGATTGACATTTATACTGGCAGGAGTCATTCAGATGCAACGGAGGTAGTTGGTGGAGGGACAGTGAGGTGTTAGACATCATAAGTATTTGGGGCGACACTTCCATACAAGCAAAACGTAAGGGATCTTATCATGACCAGTCCATACAGACACAGCAGCCGTTGCTCCATGAAAATCCATAAATAAAAATCTGGCTCTTTTTCTCTTCTCTCTTCTCTTATAAATAAAACCATAGTTTTTCTCATGCAGGTCAGTTCAGGACAATGACCTGTTCACACATAATGTGAACAGCCAAACAAAAAAATCTTATCTGAGCAAAAAAATCCCAATTAAGCACTAAGACCTGCAGTATGACCATAGCCATTGTATAGTATGACATGGTGTAGTGTAATTGTCGCCCCATCCAGCTTACTGTTGTTCCCACACCATTGGCCTCCATGGCTTCTCAAGTTCTGAGTTCACTGTTGAAGAGAAAAACTGCTTTTACAAAACATTATGCTCATAATATTATTTAATTTTATTCAACTATTATCCAGGTATTCAATTGAAATTGTGTTACATTGTAAAAAGTGTTAAAGTAATTAAACCTAAAAATAAACATCCTTCAGACGAGCCCTTTAAGAGTAAGTCGCAGTGAGGACAGAAAGCAAAGTAAGGAGAGAGCAAATAATTAGAAACCACCGTATCACATGTAGGCCTACATGGTACTGGAAAAGCCCTATACAAACTATCATTTTGACTTTTAGTTGTTTTAGGAAGGTCGATGGCTGTAGTTAGTTAGAATTCACTCCCTTGTTCTCTATAAGAAGAATAAGATGTACTTTATTGATCCCCATAGGCCCAAAACTTTTCTCTCTCACTTACACACTTATATGCAAATGTGAAGAACGGAACAATTAGGACTTTGGTGCCTTGCTCATGGGCTGGGCAGCAATGCCCAGGCACCTCTCCAGCTACCCGTCCACACTACAAACTGTGGTCCGTGCTGAACAGCCACCCGTCTGGTTCCCAAGCCAAGTCCTTACAGACTGAGCTACTAAAACTTAGTATTAAACTAAAGTAAGAATTGAACACCTATGGATGATCAATGTGAACTACTGTTTGTTATTTTTGAGTCAGTAGTAACAAAAAAAAGATCAGGTTTTCACTGAAAAGAGTGTCTTGTATCCACACACTTCTGGACATTTATCTACTTTTAAAGAAGAGTCAGGTTTCTGATAACCAAACTGATGGAGTTTGTTCATTCTGTTTATCCCGGCAGGACTTTAACAAAATACAACTAAATAAAATAAGTATATCATTAGTAGCTTCCTAAGAAAAGTTTCCACTGTGTTAAGTTCAACAATCTTTGATTTATGGAAACTGGAAAAGATAGATGCTCTTGTTATTATCATGTTTATTAACTTTATAATTTGCAGAACTGTGACAGGAATAATAATGATGGTGTTTGCCTTGTGCGTGATGTAAGATACAATCTGCTTGAATCATGCTAAGCATCAGTATTCGACTGTTTGTAGTGAACTCACCCTCCACTTGATAGACTTCGCACTCAGTCAGGTTGAGGTTGTTGCCATGCATTTGAGCAGCATTGAAGGTGTAATAATTTCCTGGATTGTTATAGACTATTGGTTGGCTACCATTGACAAGAACCAATGCTTCTCCAAAATATGGACCGGAGTTAGCCATCATTTTCACTGCATAAACCGGAGTGGTAACTGGATATTTGATGAGCTGTTCTCCACTGAAGGTGAAAAGAAAGGCCTGGTCATCATGTACGTACTGTCCAGACTGACTGAATGGTTGTTTGGTGTAACCTCCAAACACATATCCAGAGGAGTTATAGCCCACAGACACTGTGGGACAGCGGTTGTCACATCTTTGGTGGAAGGCTGCACCGGTGAAACCATGGATGCTGGCCTTGTACAGCAGCTGTAGTTTAACTCTTCCCAGCTTGGAGCAGATTGTTTCCTGCTGGCTCTTTGTTAGCCTGGGGTTCATGGTAGATGGTTGTTCTTGACTGTCTGGAGCCTTTAAAGTTTTCTTAGTGTGCTGTCTGAAGACAAAAACAACAACAACAGTTGTATTAAAGATAGATGCTATTTGGGAATTTTAATCAGTGTATCCAGTTTGTATTGTACAGTAAATTATTATTGCTATTAATATAATTGTATGTATTTGTCTGGTGACACTAAGAGGTGTGATCCTGTTGGGGAGGAAGCATCGGGACCAGGGGTGCCAACAAGAGCAAGGTGAGCAAGCTGGTGAGGAAGGCCAGCTCGGTGGTGGGGATGGAGCTGGACAGTGTTGAGGCTGTGACGGAGAAGAGGATGAGAGGGAAGCTGAAAGCCATCATGGACAACCCCTCTCATCCTCTCTACACTGAGCTCAGTCAGCTCAGGAGCACCTTCAGCCACAGACTGACCCAGCCCCGAGCCTCAAAGCGGTTTGGAGGCTCGTTTGTTCCATCAGCCATCAGACTCCACAATGCCACAACACCCACTACCTCCAACCCCTGCAGACTAAGACTGCAACGCACAAACTTTTTGCACTATTTATATTTAATTTCCATATGTAGAGTTTAGTTTTAGTCAAGCTGCTCATATATTCACACACCATTCATACTTGAATATTACATAGTGTATATAATTTAATTTATAGTCTTATATTTTCTATATATTTTGTGATTTTTTATTTTGTGATATCTTGTTGTACCTCCACTTTTGTACTCTCTTTTGAACTACATTGCCCTATGCTGCTGTGTCAATTATCTTATCTCATCATGGAAGGTGATGGCAGCTCCTGTCATTGTTGTAGTTTCAGTGTGTTTCTTTCTATTTTTAACTGTTTTATTACTTTCTTACTTTATTACTACTTTGTTCACGTCGCCTACATACTTTTTTTGGGGCGTTTTTGAGCACTTTTTATTATTATATATATATTATTATTATTTTTTGTTTCCATGGCGACGGCGAGTCGCATTGTTTACACCCGCGACCAGATGATCGCCCTGAGGTACCCCAGCATCCTGACCGGAGAGAGAGCCTCCATACCGGAGGAGCTGAGGAGACGGCGAGGCTGCAGAGTGGGGGTTAAACGGAGGATGAAGAAGAGGAGCTTTAAACCCTACAAACGTGGCTACACGAGCAGATACCGGACTCCAACGTCACCATGCCCGGCTTCCAGGCGGTTCGAGCCGACAGGGACACCACCGCGACCGGCATGAAGAAAGGAGGGGGGACTGTCCGTGCTCATACACAACAGGTGGTGTAACGCCGGACACGTCTGTGTGGAAGAGCGTGTCTGCGGCCCGGACATCGAGCTGTCGCCGTCAGACTTCGTCCATGTTATCATCCTCACAGTGGTCTTCATCATCACCATCACTGTTTACATTTATGATGTCTTATTTATTCTCCTGTACAGCACTTTGGTCAACTTTGGTTGTTTTTAAAGTGCTTAACAAATAAAGTTGGATTGGATTGGACCTTATCTTATCTTATCTTATCTTATCTTAGGAGGCCTTTTACTTTCACTTTTCCTTTTCCTTGTGTGTGTTGTTTGTTTTCCATGTCAATTCAAATCATTTCTGTAACTGGTGACAGAGATAGATTTTAATTTCAAAGGACTTCCTGGTTACATAAAAAAATATACATACTGTTTTGCCTATTATTGATACAATGCTGTAAGTAAAAGCACAAAGTTTGCACGAATATTCTAACAAAATGATCTATAATTGAATTGAAACTTAACCCCTTTCAACACCATTTTACTTAGATTTAAGCCCACATCAAAAAGGATCGGTGAAAACTAAAGAGAAAGTCAGGATGAAACCTGTCAGTCATAGCTGTCAGTCACAGAGCATTTAAATGAACCTGCAGGTGCGCAAATTGACTGTAATGTAGGATGCGTTATTCTAGTAGGTAACAAGTTCATATTAAAGTATTTAAAGTATTAAAGCATAAAACTATATTTTATGTTTACCTCCTTTGTTGAACAAGGTCTGGAAAAACCAGCTGAATCACTTCCCAGGCAGATTAAGGTGCACATTGGTTTGTGTCACTGGAGCAGAGTGGCATTTAACCTAAATACGACCGGACATACTTGGGTGTTGCCTTCAAAATAACAGAGTAAAATCAAATTTCTTAAAGAAGGGTTTTTGTAGTGTAGAATGGATGTATAACACAATGTCAAGAATCCGACAAAATTCTATCTTTAGATCCATTATCAACCTTACAATTATTTTTTATAGTTAAATTTGTATTATTGCAGACTGAATTGTTCCTCATGTCTCCTGTGCTCCTGTCTGCCTCTCTCTGTGTGTAAAATCTACTTAATTTCATCAAAACTCCTAATCTGTGTCTGCCTTTGGGTCCACATCTTTATCAAACGTGACAAAGGGGGCAAATTTCAGGCATTGAAGCATAAAGCAGCAGGAGTAATGTGGTGTTATAAGCCTTTATTGGGTTACATGACTTGTTCATGAAACAATTGCAGGTCTTCATCAATAACTGGACAACAGGTGGGACATAATGTGGGTCATTCAGACTCTAGAGAAGGGGGGGGTAATGTATAGCTGGGGATCATATGACCCTATGAGATATTATGCAGAAATAATCCTTTTAGTTTGAAGGTTATGACTGGAAGTTAAAGGCCCATTTTTGCTGCCTTGACTAGGTTATAACTTTTAACTTTCGTTTTCCCGTCAACATGAAATTAAAGGGTGTAACTGCAGTCTGTTTAAAAGAAATGTACTCTGTTAAATGTGCGGAGTCTATGTTATTAATTTTAAAAGCATCAAGCTTTAGGTTACTTCATTAATTCTCTGGGGTTTCCACGAGTTAAGAAGAAATCTGATTGTGGAGCTCCCCTCAGACAAAGCTTGAAAAAAGAAAACTTAATGTCATAATGCAGTAAAGAATAGTATCAGATTAAGTATTCACTGGTCAAAGTTGTTAACTTGAGATGAAATTTCCCACTAAATGAGCCAACAATGTAAGAAAACTTTTTTAAATTATTTAAAATAAATTACAGTCTTTAGACAGATGATGTAGAAATGAAATAGGAACCTTATAATGTAATACTTTTCTGATCATCTAAATAATGTATTACTGAATCAAAAAGGAAAGGCTATATTTTGCCGTAATCATAAAATGAGCATCAGCTCATTGAGTTTCTGAAACTGGAGACGCTGCACAGTCCCAGGACATGTAGAGGTACTACATTTCCCAGCATTAAGGGGTGCTTGGAAAAGTCTGAGGAGGAAGGGAATCCTGGGTGGATCATTGTGAGGGACATTTCATCACATGAGGTTTTCATCACATCAAAACTGCTCTTGTTATTTTAGTTTTTCCTTCTTCATTGAAAAAACATCTAAGTCACTTTATATTGTATCAAGTTTTTACCTCCTTTATCAAATTTTAAACTGGACTTTTCTAAGTAAAAGCTATCTTTGTTAATCAAGCTTATTTGTTTAAACATGAAAGAGCAAAGTCACGCATAAAGGAGCAGGAGTAATGCAGTCAGAAATACTTCATTGATTACATTGCTTGCTTAAAATGACTGTAGTGTATGTGTGTGCATAAATCAGGAAGAAGTTTGTATATTTTACAGCTGATAGACAATCAAAGGCAATACATCTCCCAGCATTTCTAGGGGTGCTTGGAAAACTCAGAGGAGGAAGTGCACTGTGAACTACGCAGTAACACCTGCTGGTAAATGGTTTGATATCTCAGTGACCCTTATTATATCTGCACTTCCTATTCTTTGACTTCCATGTTGCTGGATCGGTCACTGATCTCATCAAAGTAATTATCAGCAAAGCGAAGCATCTGTATGACGGCGCTGAGCAGCAGGATGTCGCAGTCTGGGTCCAGCTCCAACTCCTCACTGTAGTTCTTCACCGGAACAACGCAGGACAGTGGCACACCAAGCCGAGCACTGACCTCCTGCATCTGGATCACAAACACTCAGATTAGGTAGTTTATACTTCTTTTTTTACCAACTTTAGTGAAATTACAATTACAAGGCAAGTATACTTTCAAACTAAAGTTACATGACTAATAAATATTGAATATATTGGTTGGCTCGTGTCATTTATCAGTACTCAAGTACTACAACACATTTGACTCATTAAGGTCTGATCTACCATGTAACCTCAGGATTTAATGTTTCTCATGTGACAATATGCTGTGAAGAAAATCAAGTCTCTCAAATTACTGTTAAAAGGTCTTCAACCCTCCACCAGTCAAGTACATTTGAATGTATCTGAATTACATAAACACACACTAATGGACAGACTTTGACATGTCAGCTTAAATCTTTCAAGTGAAAAACTACTAAATAAAAACACACAACTAACTAACAATACAATTTTCTTTCTCCAGTATAAAATCCTCACCATTTCCTTAATGTAGCCACTCCTATAAATGTTTTTCACATCTTCTGTCACCAAAGGGCAGGCTTCGTCTACTTTAGTGAGCAGGACCAGCTGAGGAATCCCTGGAAACCAGAGCAGAAAGAACATTTCCAAAATGCTTTTGATTTGTGGGTATCAGGCTGGCAAAATTATAACGAGGTAAAATCTTCTAAAATCTTTATGCTTGTTGTTCTAACATTTCTTGAAACATACACGTTTTGAAGGGTAAACTATGGCTGTGTCACTATTATCTATGTAATAGACACAGTCATTTACTCTTCAGTGAGCAGTAAATTGAGATTGTTACTGATCATGATCATTATTTTTTGTTGCTGCACAAATAATTTTCCTATTTAGCATTTTTTTGTGAATTATTGCCATGGACACTGCTGTTTTTTTAGGGCATTATAAAGTGCAAATGTTTCCCAATTGGAATTCACACAGTCAAATAAACAGTAAACAGCACAAATAGTGCCCTATACAGTATAAATATATATACTATATATACTCTATATATGAATTAGTGATTTTGGACGCAGCCTGAGAGAGCTGAAGTCATTACATTGTGTCTGGGTTAGCCTCTGTTCCACTAACTTCTCAAACTCAAGACAATCTCTCATTCAGTATTTCTTTCTGTAAAAATTAAGCAAGTTCCCCAGGTTTATTTACAACAGCAGTTACTATAAGAAATTGAGATCTTTGTGATTTTAAAAAACAATGTTTACTTTGTGAGCACAGAACAAACTACAGCTCCAATGAAAAAAAGGTGGAACCATGAATGATCAAAATGAAATACTGCATTCACTACTTCTAAGCAAGTACATTAATAAGTTCATTCATATGCCCTGTCCTCTCACCTACAGTACCTCTACCTATTTTTCTTTATATAAAGGGGTGACTGAATATTAAAAACAGACATTAGGTAGTTATCCTATGCCCCTTGTTGTTCTACAGTATGTACTAAGGGTGTACATGAAGTTATATATGTTTTCATTACACTGAAATGAGGCAAAACTTTACTGACCCAATAAGTTGACCTTTCTGCGGATAGCATCTAGCTTCTCCTCCAGCTTTGTGGGCATGATGGAGACCTTGCAGGCATCAATGATGTAGGCCACGCAGTGGATCTTGTCCTTTGTCCCTGCAGACTTACGGTAGCCATGGGCCTCCGAATGCAGAGGAGCAGAGGGGTTGAACTGAATCATACAGTTGAGGTAAAAGACAAGGACAGTTTAAGTTAACTACAGCCAAATCAATGGCTCATAAATTCAATATCCTGTTCAATATAACAAAAAACTGCACCTGATAACGGTCTGGCAGATGACCTTTAAGGATGCTGCTGATGTCGTCTATATCAAGTCCGGCCCCTGTGCTTTCCTCCAATCCCATGGTATCACACAAAATGATTGGCAGAGGTTTTCCTTCTCGCCCAGCTTTCAAAGAGTAGGAACGAAACTGTCGCATACAAAGTTAAGGAATAAGAAACCATGAAATGGGAATGGGGCAGGGATTTCATTTTGAAATCAATTACCACAAACATAAATCATTTAGACGCAGAAACTAACCTGTGTGGTGAGGCTGGTGGTAGAGCAACCAGCGATGGCCTGGCTAGTGACGTGACCTCTGAATACAGAGTTGATGGAATTGAAGAAGCTGGACTTTCCAGCTCCAACTGGTCCAATGAGCAGGACTCGAATCTGGGACACAGAGCTGATTGTGGGTTTGTAGCTCTTAATGCTCTCCATGAGCTCATTCCTCTTCCTGTAGAAACAAGAAAAGATATAGAACTTTTTCATCCAGTGAAAAGGATTTAAGTTGTTTTTAGCCTGGTTGTTACAGCCAGTTCACCTCTGTGATGGCTGGAGGTAAAACTAAGACAGTTTGTCAGGATATGTACAATTAAAACAGTATAGCACAGTAACCATGGCATTTTCACTGCATAATGTCCATCATAATTCAGAATAGCTAGTATAGGTGTAGCATAGCAGTGTTGCATGCCATGGCATGTGGAACACATTTATTATTAAATCTAAATTAAAATAAAAAATAAAACACTGTACTATCTTTTTTAGATTATCACTGTGCCATACTGTATGTAGTATAGTATGTCTAACTGCAAAGGAAGGACTCTCTGTCTGTATGTTGTACAATTTTCTTGACGACCTATGCTATTTGGCCAATAGATGGTTTAAAGGAAGGAATATCTGTCTGTCTGTATGCATGTATGTGTATGACTGTCCTACACATATCTTGAAAACCAGTAATCTGATAGACTTCACACTTGGCGGGCATATTGCTGGGTACCCAGGTAAGTGCATTGTTGAATGTGAAGTCAACGTTTGTTGACAACGCTGCAAGCAGTCATAATGGGACCAGTTGTACTATAATAAAGCACGTTAATAGCATTGTCTGCAGGGTTGTCTGTCCATCTTACACTGATTCCCAGATTATAGTCCTCCATGGCCTCTCAAGTTCTGTGGTTTCTGTTAAAGAGCAAAGAGATGTTGTATAAAACAATGATCACATTTGACAAACACATTACCCACCCAGACTTTTTTCCTTTGTTATGGGTTTACATGATACACTAACAAAACACGGGCCATTAATATCAATGCCACATTTTATTAGATTAATATTCTGTGGTTTGGATTGATTTATTCAGATTAAATATTTTATTAACATCACCTGTTGAAAGTTCAGTGATGACAGTAAGACAAAGAACAAAGAATGACAACCATTCAAAACGGACCGAACAAAACTTATACACTCAAAATATGGTTATTTATAATGAACTCACCCTCCACTTGATAGACTTCACACTCAGTCAGGTTGAGGTCGTTGCCGTGCATTTCTGCAGCATTGAAGTTGTAATAAGTTCCTGGATTGTTATAGACTACTGGTTGGCTTCCATGGACAAGAACCAATGCTTCTCCAAAATATGGACCAGAGTTAGCCATCATTCTCACTGCATAAACCGGAGTGGTAACTGGATATTTGTGGAGCATTTCTCCACTGAAGGTGAAAAGAAAGGCCTGGTCATCAGGTACATACTGTCCAGACTGACTGAATGGTTGTTTGGTGTAACCTCCAAACACATAACCGGAGGCGTTATAGCCCACAGACACTGTGGGACTGCGGTTGTCACATCGTTGGTGGAAGGCTGCACTGGTGAAACCATGGATGCTGGCCTTGTACAGCAGCTTTAGTTTAACTCTTCCCAGCTGGGAGCAGATTGTTCTCTGCTGGCTCTTCGTTAGCAAGGGGCTCATAGTGGAGAGTTGGTCTGCTGAAGTAAGTATGATGCTGAATAAACTTTTGACGTTAACTCACTTTGATGTCTAAATGGAAAAAGAAACAGATGCATTAAAAGGTGGGAAATTTACTGAGTTTGGTTAATGCCCCTGGATTAACAAAATGTATGTATCATCAAGGTTGCACCAAATATTCATTGTTTGATTTGTTTGTAAAATCATGGAAAATACTGACGCTTATTACAGAGCATAAGAAATACCAATAATATAAAACCACTGATAAAATCATAAAACTACAATCCATAAAAAACAGGGATAAATGAACCATTCAAATAGACAATGACAACATGATTAAAACCACAGTTTACTTCCTCATTAGATACCGTGTGTGAATGTTTTATGTTTGATGAACTGGTTTAAAAACAACACTGCACACAAATTGCTGTCATCAAACGTATATATTTCAAGATAAACATTTTTCACTGTATCATAGTTCAAAGACCCTATTTGTAGAAATTTTTCAACATCAAATATATTAACATCTTATCTTATTTCTTTTTCAATTTAACTCTAAAATACTTTATCTAATTGAGTCAAATATTCAATCTTAAATAACACAATGTACAAAATAAAACGGCTGTGTCTAAGCCACAGCCTGATAGATGTTGAAGCAGAGCAATAACTTTCCATTTCCTCTCAAACTGACAATGAAATGGTTGGCCAACTACGCCACCAGATTCAGTCAGTTAACTATTAGATCTGTTGGTTTAAACCTTAATCAATTTAGGTTCATATCAAGGGAATAATAAAGACCCACCAGCTGTTTGGGGTATTGTTAAAGTATATTCCAAGTTTAGGAATTACACAGTATATAAACGCACACAAATGAACAGTGCCACACCTTCAGTCACAAATATCAATTTAGTGATTAAAATAAAACCCCAAACTTTACATTTGAGTTTGAAAAAGTAATATTTTCATCCTCACCTTTTCTGGATGATAGATGAAGGTGACCAGATATAACAGTATACTATACACATCTGCAGACAGGATGTCTACTGCCAGACAAATAATGTGCTCTGTGGCAGAGATG